TCTTTCCTTCAGTCCTGACATGAGCTACCCTTTAGTGTCCAATTCAGGAGCCATTTCCTCCAACATAGTCATCATTATAGTCTCAACTGACATCTCTTTTGTCTGAACTCCTTAGTCTCTATTACACATTTCACTTTCAACAGCAATATTGCTACTGGACAGCAGAGCAGGGACCATGCCTTGTATTTCATCAACCCTTCCACCATTCCCTGGAGCTTAGCACTGAGCTGGGCACTTGGTAGATGTTTAAAAATTAATGGCCCAATTGCTATCACAGCTCTGCCAGGAGTGACCTTCCCATGCACGAGGCCAAGACGCCAGCCGCTAAATGTGTCTTTTTTCCCATGACGCCTGTTAACACTGCAGCCCGGCATTAATCCAAGTGAATGTGAGAGGGTTAAGTGCAAAGTCATTTTAGCAAAATGTGCATTGCTTCATGCCAAGCAGAAATCAAATGTTATGATGCTACACTATCAGGAAAAGTACATTACATTTGGCATTGTCCCAGGATCCAAAAACACAAATGGTATTACCCTTTCAGTGGCCAGTTCCTCAACAACATGGTGTCCTTCTTCCCATTAAGACCTTCCAGCCCACACCTCCTCTCCCCAAATAACACACACACATTTGTCTAGACTTTCCCCCGAAGAATGTTAAACAATCTTCAAGCCTGAGATTATAGCTTTGCAATTAACTGTCTCATAATCACAGGGTTGCACAAGTCATTCCTGATGAGAAGGAGAAGATGATGATACTGATGATCATGACGATGGTACCCTGATTGCTTCTGGCATTAAAACAAAATTTAAAAAACTAACATGCATTATGATTTACTCATTACCGGTACTCTTTGAAAAACATAGTTAGTCGGCTATTTCACAACCTTTGACAATAATTTGCATATGCTTTGAAAAAAATTATTTGTAAGAACATTGGACTTGGGGTCAAGAGACAGGCTCTTTTAGCCTCAGCTCAGTTGCTGATTTGTGTTGACCTTGGGTTGTCCTTGTGCTGATTCTCATGGGATGGACTTGGGTCACATGGCCATCACCTGCTATAAGATATTGTTAACTGAGCAAATTACAATCCTAAAACAAAAAATCAGGATTTGGTTAGCCAGGCAGAAGAGCAGAATGGCTACTGCATGGGCAATCAGCAGAGTCTGCTACACATAGCTTCTAAGTTTCACTCTATCTTGAATATTCCATGAACTGCACCTTCAAACCTATCATTACCCAATGTAGTAGTCTCACTACATTGGTCCCTAATGTATACAGTGTTTAGTCCTGGTTTGGATAATCAAGTCAATCTCATTAGCATGCTAGGAGAAAGCTAATGCCAGCATCCCATAGAGTGCAGGGTGGGGTGGGAATGGGGGAACTATCCCTTCCCTCTGCATCCACTTTCTGTTCTCTTAGCCCTGAAAGAGACAGGCAAGGAGAAGGCAGCCATGTAACTGAGTGAAAGGCTGCTGTAGCCAGGAAAACCACTGCAGGCTGATACTTTCTTCTTCCTCAGCAGCCCAGGAAAGACATGAAGGAGGCTGCTATCTTTGCAAAGCACCCTTCTTGTTTTCTGCTATGGATATCTGTGGCTTTCATCTGACCTCTGCCTATAATTCATTCTTCTAGTAATATCATCATGGATTTTTCTTTGGGAAATTCCACCTCCCTCGATGGATTTAGGCTTGTTGGAAACCTCAAGAGATCATCCAAGGAAGGCCCACAGAATGGTGGTCTCTGGAGACTAAATCTTTAGCAAAATGATATAAGAGAAGGTAGTGCTGGAGGCCACAACACCTGCCCCAGATCCTAGAGTGGCTCTGGCCCCTGTCCTTCCATAGAATGGTTCTTCAGCTTATCCTTGCCTCCCCAATAAAATACCTTCTCTGATTAAAGCAGCCACAGTCAATGCCTCTTTCTTGCAACCTCAAAACACTGACAGATAAATCTTTCAATTGCATTAGTTCATCCTACGGGTATTTGCAAACAGCAAAGAGTCTGTGCTGCTTCAGAGCGAACACTCTGGCCGAGGTGCTTGTTCGACTTCTGACCTTAATCCACTAAATGTCCTGTACAAACCGCTTTTTATCCTGGAAAAAGTTTCCTCATTGATAAAATGGTGGTTTGGACCAGACCAGTATCTTCCAACTATTCCCTGCAGTACTTCAGGACTTCCCCCAGAAGACCCTCAGGGGTCTACATGGGGAGCTCAGGAGCAGCTCATTATGATGGGCTCTGGCCCCCCCACCTTACTCAATTAGAATAGCTCTGTTTTCATGCAATTTTACTTATCAAGAACGAGATTTTTTTTTTTATTGGTCCTCAACTAAAAATAAGAGTTTGAAAAATGCTAGACAATATGATCTCTACAGGGCCCTTCCAGCTCTGATGTTCTGTGATTTTAAGCGGGTGGAATATTTGGTAACATCTTTTCATTCATCAGCATAATTGGGAGTGCAGGAATGCCTGCCAAAACATAATCTACATCTAATAAAATCTGTGTGCAAAACAATGGCAATGGAGGAGATGGAGGAAAAAGCAGGCTGTGTGGAAGGACTTGAAGCAAACAAAACACAGATCCCTGTTTTGCAATTCTGGCGGTGCCTGGCGGGTAGAGCTGGGAAGGGAAGCCCACCACTGCCTTATCCAGCCTCTGCTATTGCAAAGCAAAGAATGCAGACTCGGAAGCAAACTGAATCTGGGTCCTATCGTTTCGTTGGGCACATCCAATGTTTTGAAAACTTTCAATTAGTTATCATTAATGTTCATAAATTGGAAAATGCATTTTAAAAAACAGTTTCCTGGCTTCTTTTGAAAAAATGGAAGATGTGACAACATAGGGCTTAAAAGTAGGACAGCAATCAACAGGAGAGGAACAGTGACTGTCTCTTTTCGCTGGGACGTGTCTGCTTCACTTTGCTCCAGGTCCCCCCACTCCTTTCCATATCCCTGACCCTGAGATTGAGGTGCTGGCTACCAGCTAGCCATGTGCTTGCACTGTGCTTTTATCCCCCGTATTTCAAAGCAATGGTAAATCAAACATAAATTATTTCTTATATCCTTATCCTTATCCGAAGTGGAGAAATGAAAGATAGACTGAAAAAGATAAGCTTTTCTAGGGGCCGGCCCGGTGGCGCACTGGATAGTGCGCCGCTTGGGAAGCGCGGCGGCGCTCCCGCCCGAGGGTTCAGATCCCACGTACAGACCGGTTCCCTCTCACTGGCTGAGCGAGGCACGGGGGCAACACCGAGGGTTGCGGTCCGGTACGGGGGCGACACTGAGGGTTGCGATCCGTTGCCGGACAAGGAAAAAAAAAAAAAAAAAAAAAAAAAAAAAGATAAGCTTTTCTAGAGAAACGGGGCAGAGATGGCACTGCTCTCCCCCGTGACATGTGGCAATATCTGAAGACTTTTTTGGTTGTCACAACTAGGGTGGGTGCTACTGGCATCTAGTGGGAAGAGGCTGGGAGACTGCTCAGCACACCACAGTGTACAGGACAGCCCCCACAATAAAGAATGATCTGACCCCAAATGTTGATAGTCCCTGCTTTATGGAATTTCTGTAGGTTTAACATGCCCAGCACCTTCACTCTTACATTACCTGCCTGGGCTCTGCCTTGCAAGCCTTTGTTCTATAGGCTCAGCTTTGTTTTTCTTTTTTTTGGTGGCCAGCCGGTAGGAGGATCTGAGTGCTTGACCTTGGTGTTACAACAAGGCTCTCTAACCAACTGAGCTGACCAGCCAGCCCTCTAGCTATGATGATTAACAATTTTTCCAGAACAGGAAAATTGGGTTCCATCTGATGGTGCAAGCGTGAAAATAATGATAAAAACCCTCCTGTTATCCAGCATGTGCCCGATGCTACCAGCAACCACAGAACCCAGACTGATAGTTCATCCGCTGTCCTTTGCTTCCACTACAGTGGATAGCACTTGCTGGAAAGGGCAAGAAATTGCTGTTCAGAAAAATCTAATGAGGACTGGCAGACACCAGGAGGTCTGGGGAAGCAAGAAGCAAAGTCTGGGAAGGTAACGCAAGTTAAATCCAAGTGATAGGCACAATCCCTGTAAGTGCCTTCACCAAGGAAGGTCAATGGCCAAGCCCATAGCAGAGCAAATTGGCATCAGAGATTCAAGGAGGGAGCAAAAAACATGGTGGTGAACACACTCTTTATCCATTACTGTTCATTAATCCATCTGTCCATCCGTTCATCCTTTCAGCACATATTTGTGGAGCAGGATTCAGGCCATGGGCAAGGTTTATGGCCCTTGTCCTCTTGGAATCAAAACCATGCTCCCAGCTGTTTGATCTCAAGCAAGTTGCTTCCATCTCTCTCTCTGAGATAGTTTCCTGATCAATAAAAGGAGGGGGGAAATTTTCCATCTTGCAGGAGGTGATATGAAGATTAGGTAAGATTTTCTTAGCACAGGCCTGACTCAGACTCTCAATAACTCTCAGAAAAACTGGTTGCATCCCTCCCTTCCTGGGTGCACTCAGGTGGTTGCACATGATGCCTATAGCTCACTGAGGCGGGGGCAGCTTCTGGGGTCACCTTTCAGCTCAAAAGACCCTCTCAGCATCCAGAGAACCAATTCTCCCCGTGAGGTTGGGGGGTGTTTTGTGGACCACATCACATCAGCAGCAAGAAGCAGGCTGCAGAACAGTGCACCCATCAGCAGCAAGCATTCCTGTGAAGGGTGAAAACTGAGTTCCCGCAGCAGTCCTGCCCCTTTCTCCCTCTTATAAATTCCAGTTTGACTTCATAACCCCTTGGGGGCATCACGCAGGCGCAGATTCACAGCTGTTCGGGGGTGAGGGGAGGGTGGGGGCACCTTCTGTCATTCAGAATACAATCAGGCACTTAGAAAGGATCAGGGGTATGCACAGTGATAAACTGTTATTTCAAGCTCCCACTGCTGAGGTCCTGTGTCCCTCTAATGGATGGTCTTCTAGAAGGAGTTTGGCACATGCAGATGTGTCTGTCTGGATGCCCACTCACCAAGCTTGTACCACATATCGCGGATAGAGAAGCCAATTAGCCGTCTCATGTCCCCGTACCTAGGAGGAACAAAAATGTCTGCTTCAGGCACCATCTCATAAACCACCCCCCAACCCCCTTTAGGAAATCCAAAAATGCAACCTACTTATTCAGGATTTTGTTGTACTTGGCGTGTGAGAACTGCTCCAGCTGCAGAGAATCCTGAGTGATAAAAGCCACCGCCAGATGAAAATAGTTGTTCCACAGCTGTAAATGAAAGAGGAGAGAACAGTTATGGAGAGGGTCTGAAGTAGGAAGGCATATTAAATCCTGGGTATGTGAATAATTTATGAAGATGGCAGAAGACTGAGGCAGAACCAGTTTAATTGTGTGCACTGAAATTTTCTAACTGGCACTGATTCTGAAATTAACATCCTGGCCAAAGCAAGGACATTGGATGTATTTTTGCAAGCACTGACCACGTCTCCTCTCTGACAATAGGATTCTGGGTGAGGAGGAGGACTTTAGTGCTATTTTGTTGTTGTTGTTGTGCTTTGTTTTGTTTTTGAAAGACAACTTGCCCCAGCTGGGTGTGCTGATGAGCAGGTTCCTGCCCTGTAATTAGAGAGTGATAAACAATAAGGTAGGTCAGGGACCACAGCCTCTCTGGAAGTCCTTCCTAATTCACCTGACAGCTCAGGGGACTAGTCTGCAATTCATTCTGTCTTAAAACATTTAGCCTTTTCTTCCCCCTTAGATCAATGGTTTCAAAGTGTGGTTCCCAGACCCCCAGCAGCAGAATCACCTGGAAACTGTTAGAAATGCAAATTCCCTGGCCCCTGCCTAGACCTACTGAATCAGAACCTCTGGGGGTTAGACCTAGAAATCTATGTGTTCTGTGGGCTCATCGTAATTTTCACCTGTGCATGATCTGTTGGCGCTAATGTGATAAAATGATGACTAATACTGGAACCCATTCCACCAGCTTGCAGTAAAATAGAGAGGGCTGAGCACATGGCAAGTGCTCAGAAAGATTAGCCACCATGATGGCAATAATGATATAGACCACAGAACCAGAGAGATGTAGATCCAAGCCAAGGTGCTGCTGAGACTCAGAGCACCTGTCTGCACAACAGGGGCACCCTCTGCAGAGGGTTGTGGTAAAGATGACGTGAGATGATGTGTTTAAAGAGTGTAAATTACAGTAAGAGCTCCAAAATACTTGTTACCCTTACTGTTGTCCTTTTCATTATTTGAGTGTTTCCTTTGGTATCAAAGCCAATAGGAGAGTCTGGCTTCTTGGGTACTTAAGGGCAATTGCTGTAAGATGCCAAGGCCCTTCGAGGAGCCAGTAGAGAAAAGCCTTGCTGAAAAAAGCCCCCTACTTTTAGGCTCTTTTTAGTACTATATAGCAAGAGGATGGGTAACATTCTGCCATTGAGACCTTCATCCTTAGTTCAAATATGTTCTCTGGAGGTTGCAGGTGGTCAACACTGGGAAGAAGGCAGATCTACTGTTGATAATGTCATTATTACTCCCAGGCCATCTCTTTCAAATGGACCTGTGGTTCCAGTTGCAGAAAAAAGCAAAATGAGCATTTCATTTTAACCATGGTCCAGGCACCTTCTCATACATTCCTCCTTTTATCTATCAAACCTTGATAGTCTCGTTAATCCCACTTTACAGATGAGAAGACTGAGGCTCAGAGGGGTTAAGTATTTTGCTGAAGGTCGCTTGGCTTGTTATATATACAGCAGACCTTGGATTTGCCCTCCTACCCTCTGATTGATGTTCAGGGCTCTTTTAACATGCCATGGTCAGTCTTCAGCTGAGGATGCATTTAACAAATATTTCTTGAATATTTTCAAAGTGCCCGGGCATTGCTATAGTATGGTGACAGGGCAGTGGTTACGTAGGCAGCAATGCCTGCCCTTGTGCAGCTTACATCCTATTAGGAAACGTGTTCTCCTCTACTTGAACCTTTCTTTCCCCGGGTCCAAAAGTCCGAGCTACTCCTGGGGAGCAGTGAAGTGGTCTCCTGGCTTGTGGCCCCCGTAAGGTCTCTATACAGAGATCAAAAGGATCTGCTTAAAACAAGTTGTATCATGCCCCTTCCCTCCTCAAAATCCTTCAAAGCCTTCTATAACCCTTGGAGTACAATTCCTTTGTTTCCGTAGCAACCTCACTCATCCTCTCATCCAAATACACACTGCAGGCAGGTTGGGTCTCCTGTCCATATCTATTCAGATGTCTTTCCTCTTGGCATCCCAGTAACTTAGCAAGTTCTCCAGGGCCTGAAAATGTGTGCTGTGGTCTCCTTAAGTCCAGAGCTCACACCTTCTCACATTGAAGACCAGGATATGAAACAATAAGCCAGGGAAAGAGAAAACCATGGTCACAGGGCACAGAAAGGAATGTTTTTAAAGTGGGAAATGTGTAATTTTAGGGGATTGCGTAAGAGTAATCAGAGTACAGTAAGAAATCTATATCTGACAAAGCAAGTCAAATTACCATCACTTCTGAGAATAATTCCAGAAATGCCCAACATAAGACATGTCAAATGTAGTTGAGCATTTTGCTAGCCTCTATTTTACCTGAATTATTCCTTCAAGAAGTGATTCCTATGTCACCCCATTCCCGATTTTCTTTTTCTAAAAAACTGAGATATAATTCATATACCACAAAATTCACTTTTTAAGGTGTATAACGCAGTAGTTTTTTGGTATATTCTCAAAGTGGTACAACCATCACCATTATCTAATTTTAGAACATTTTTATCACCCCCAAAAGAAACCCTCTACCCATTAGTAGTCATTTTCCCTCTTACGTCCCTTCAACTTCAGCCTCTGGCAACCACTAATCTACCTTCTGTCTCTGTGGGTTTGCTTATTCTGACATTTTATGTAAATGGCATCATACAATATGTGAGTTTTCATGTCTGACTTCTTACACTTCACATACAGTTTTTAAGATTCATCCACATTGCAGTATGTATCAGTACTTCGTTTCTTTTTATTGCTGAATAATATTCCACCATATGGATATATACGTTTTGTTTATCTATTCATCCATTGATGGATCTTTTGGTTGTTTCCACTTTTGGCTCTTATGAATAATGCTGTTATGAACATTTTCACACAAGTTTTTGAGAGGACATATGTTTTTAATTTTCATGGATATATACCTATATATATCAGGCGTAGACCTGATTTTCTTTTGGCTGCCTTCCTGGAAGATCTTTGTTAACCACAAGGCCATAGCTGTGCCTCATCTTCTCAGTGGATGAGAAATGGGTCACCCAAGCATCTCATCCACAGTCCTTTCCCTGTTCTGTCCATGGTGCTCTGTGGAAATGACTTTTGGAACTGAGAGGAGATTGTCACAGTCGGCGGCTCTGCACAATGCCCTGAGAAGTGAGCAGTGGCCACAACTAGTAGAGGCTGGGTACTCATAATGCCTCTGCCCCAAACCTTCCTTGACTCTTGTTTCTGCAAAATCAGGATGATATGCATTAACCTGGCTTTTAAGGCTTTATGCAATTTCCTTGGACTCCAGTGTTTTCTCCTTCATCAAACTGCCCATTCTAGGCAAGTTGGTCTGCTTAGATTCCATTCCTTAGATGACTGGATCATTTTGGCTTCTGTGGCTTAGCTCACATGGTTCTCATACCTGAAGTGTCTGTGTCCTATTCTTTCATCAAAGCCCAGTTCAAAACTCATTTCCTCCATGAAGCCTTCCCAGATTGCAGACAACATTGAGTCTGCCCTATCCCTCCCTAATTTGAGGAGTACTTACAGGGCACAGCACAGAATCTGGTCCACTGTTCTTCACTTGGCCTTGCACGCCATCCACTTCCCATGACAGCATTGCCCAGTGGCTAAGAGCACATACATCAGTGCCTTGCAGACCAGGGTATGAATACCAGTTCTACCACTTACTGGATGGCTTGCCTTTGGCTAGTTACTTGGCCTTTCTGAGCCTCATTTTCCCCATTTGTAAAATGGCAAAAATAATGGTACCTACCATAAAGGATTGTTGGGACTGGGTGAAATAATATGAAAGTGATGCATCTGTCACAGGTGTGACACATGCCAAGTGCTCAATAAATGGAATGGTGGCGGCGGTGGTGGCACTGGTCATACAGTATTTGTATGCTCTGTTTTCTTCAATTGTAAGCTCCATAGTAGCAAGGGTCCTATCTTCCATTTATTTGTATCCCTAATGCCATACTTGGCACAATGGTTAAAATACAGTGGGCTACAGAAAAAACTTGTTTATTGATCATCGTATTATCAGAGAAATTCTTCATTTGTTTCTTATCCCTAATGCCATACTTGGCACAATGGTTAAAATACAGCGGGCTACAGAAAAAACTTGTTTATTGATCATCGTATTATCAGAGAAATTCTTCATTTGTTTCATAAGGTCTCAAATTTTTCCTTCCTCCCTGTGCCACTGGGTCTCTCTAGCAAAACACACAGGTCTCTTTTCCCTGGGGAAGAGGTGAGGATTTCTGATTAGAAATTTAATATTTTTAAATCATAAGACAATAGGGGGTAAAAGCTGGAATGAATTTAAGTGTCATCTGGTCCAACTCCCTTATTTCACAGATGTAAAAACAATAAGGTCCAGATAAGTTAAATGACCCCCTCAAAGTCATACCACTAGTGGATGTAATAAGAATTTAGTTATTTTGAATTAACTATCAAAATTAATTATTAAAGTAATATACATACATGGTTAAAAAAATAGAAAAAATTAAATGGTAAAATGTTATTTTCCATTCTGCCTTAGACCGGTCTAATTCCCCAAAAGAAAATGTTAATTTCTTGGATATCCTTACAGAAATTTTTATGCATAAACAAATATATGTATGGACACCTTTATTTAATAGTCTGCTGTACTTTGCTTTTGTCTCTTACCGATATGTCTTGCAAATGTTTCCATATTAGCATATACAGATCTTCTTCATTCTCTTTTATAGCTGCATTGTATTATGCAATAAGGATGTACTTTAATTTTAACCAATTCCCTACTTACAGACATTGAGCTTGCTTCCAACCTTTTTTTTCTCCTCTAGCTACAGTGCTGTCCTTGCTTAAACATCTTTATGTGTGGGAAACTACTACATGTTTGTAATGCACATTCCTAGACTTGGAATCACTAAGGCACAAGGTCCATGCATGTTTTCTTATTGTTTCTTTGCTGTGTTTGCTGTTTGTTTTCATAACTATTGTCAGGTTGGCTTCCATGGTTCTAATCTAATT